CCACTAGTATAATCTATTGAAATTGTACAGAGTTAATTCACCCTCCCCAATGTTTATGTCATAAGAGTCTCTAGCAATCTAAACTAGAAATTTGAAGTAACATATTGATTCGAGGTTGATACAAACCACTCTTCAAAAAAAATAATATAATCTATTATGAATTCAAATTATCAATATCATGTATATTAATAAATAAATTCAACCAATTATTTGTTTTAGTAATCGCGTGACGGTATTCGTTTCAAACAATATTATAAAAATCATATTATCTTTGACTAATCAAACTGTACACTGTTAAAGTCTGACTAATTACATGGTAAACAAAGCTTGATCAATATAACCATATTTTTGAACAATAATTCAATCCATTAGGGAGAAAACTGTCAATTAACAAAGAAAGAAATCATCACGGACTTGTATATAAGGAGTAGCACTCTCTTCACAAAAACCCAAAACAAAGAGCAACCCCAGTTAGCTGTCTGTTACTCGTGCTCTCCTCATTCCTCTTTCCGCCTTGAGTGATCTAATGGAGGTGTGGTCTCTTTGGTATTTTGTCATCTCTTTCCTTGTTGTAAGTGTGACAACTTGGATTTCTTGGTGGAGGAACCCCAGTTGTAATGGCAGACTACCTCCAGGTTCCATGGGACTTCCACTTATAGGGGAGACTCTTAATTTTCTTGTCACATCCAAGTCCATAGACATCCATCCTTTTATTAAGGAAAGGATGAAAAGGTAATCAATCATTCAACATGCTAAAATTGAAAACTTTCTTCATTTTAAATTATTGTTTTGTATATAAATATGGATTGTTAAATCCTTTATTTCTTAATTACTAGATACGGTCCATTGTTTAAGACAAGTTTAGCAGGTCGACCAGTAGTGGTATCGTCAGATCCTGATTTCAATTATTTTGTGCTCCAACAAGAAGAAAAACTTGTGGAACTATATTATATGGATTCCTTTGCGAACCTGATTCACAAAGAAAACGTACATGGAGGTGGTAACGTGCACAAGTATCTCAGGCATGCAATTCTGAGTCACTTTGGCTTTGAGGCTCTCAAAGAAAAGCTACTGTGTCAGGCTGAGAATGCCATAAACCATGCATTTCATGAGTGGACAAAGCAGACAGAGGTAGCTGTAAAAGGCCAAAGTGCTGCTGTAAGTAATTTTATCGTAACCAAATACAGTTCGTAGTCAAATATTAACAGTATTAATGAGACAATATGAACCTTATAGACACTTGTTTGAGGAGCAAGGGTAGAAACGGCTAAACCAAGGCTAACTTATTATTATGATGTATTACCTAGTTCTTTTCTTTTTTTTTTGGTTAATTTTATCTCATTTTGCAGATGAATATTGGATTTACTTCAAAGATTCTGATGAGTTATGAATCGGAAAAATCTGCAGAAAATTTAAGTGGATATTTATGTGACTTCTTGCAAGGACTTATGACATTCCCTTTGTACATCCCTGGAACAGCTTTCTACAAATGTATAAAGGTTAATCATCTTTATTACACCTGCTATAACCTTCTAAATTTTACAGTATTTTAAAATCTCCAAAAGATAGTATCATCTACTAAATCTATATATACACACACATATGCAGTCTCAACAAAAAGTAATGAAGGTGATATCTCAGCTACTAGAAGAGAGAAGGAAGTCTTACTCCCAAGGTCGCCGTAAAGGAGATTTTCTTGACCAAATAGTTGAAGACATGGAAAAAGAAGCATTTTTGACGAAGGATTTCGCCATTAGCACTATGTTTGGTCTCCTCCTTGCGACCGTTGACACTATTTCCTCTACTGTTGCTTTAGCCATTAAGTGTTTAT